CAAAAAAAAAAAAAAAAGTAGGTATACTTAGGTGTAAAATATTTTATTTCTATTATTAGTGAACCTTATTGCCACCCTCGAACGAGTAGTTAACTAATCAAATATGATTTCATTCAATAATGCTGGCTACATATTAACAACGAGAAAATTGTAATTTTAGTCCAGTAACTTAGGTTGTTTCCTATTTTAGTCTACTAACTTAGGCCGATCCAAATTTGGTCCAAAAATTTTCAAAAGTTAGTTAAATCAGTCCAATTGGATTAAAATTGGACTGAAATTGACCAATTAATTTCGGCAACAGAGACCGAAATTGGACTGATTTAACTAACTTTTGGGAGTTTTTGGACCAAATTTGGATCGACCTAAGTTAGTGGACTAAAATGAAAAACAGCCTAAGTTACTGGACTAAAATTACAATTTTCTCTATTAACAACATCTAAAACATTGCAATATTATATATTTAATCATTGAAATTTATGAGATAAATTGCGTGTTAAGATTTGTTATTCCTAATCAAATCTGCATTTGGCCAATGAAAATTAGACTTAGTGATCATCACACAGACATTCTCTAAAGTCAGCCTTTGCTTCATTTACTTTAGAATCAATCATTGCATTAATTGACTTTAAAATTATAAAAAAAAAAAACTATTAATAATTTCCGGAGTGTAAGATAATGATTGGTGTCCAAACATTAAATTCAAGTTTTGATTCATACATTGGTTGACCTTTAAGAAATTTCCTTTTGCTTCGATTCAACCTTTGGTTAAGGTACATTTGACTTTTGGGCACACGATTATAGTTGGCAAGTTTATAGATTATAGTCACATTGAACCGGCCAAGACTAAACAAAGAGAGAAGGAATCCCACAAACTACTTTATTCTTACTCGAATTTAGTATTTTGTTAAATATCTGTGTGAATCGATGGAGAGAAGAGCGAGAGAAAGAGAGAGATGAAGATGAACAGAAAAAATAAATTTGATAGAATGAATTGATGTCTGCGCAGTGTACATGAAAAACCCTTTTATACTTGGGCCAAATATACAAATAACCTGAAAGAGATAAAGTGCTAAACCTAATATAAAAGTGCTATTTACAATACAAACAAGGAAACTTGTACTAAAAGCTAAACAAGTAGTACATAATCTATTATATTTTGTCAGTATAGTTTGGTTCGATTCGCAAAAGTTTGAGTTAAGCTCGTTTGTCAACTTAAGCATAAACATGTCGAGCTTGAACATCTAGTGGAGTTCGTCTATTAAACAAGTTGAACAAATCTCGTTTGCAAGCAACTCATTCATTTTTATTTTATTTTATTAAGCTTCGAACGAATAACTAGGCCAAGTATGTTCGCAAACAAACTGATCTTGTTTGCGAACAACTCGTTTTACGGTTTTGAAATTGTTAAACATGCCGAATCAAGCCGAGCAGACTTTCACGAGATTAAACGAGTCAAACTCGTGCCAAACATTTTAACGAGCTTGAACTCGAAGTGCTCAATAGCTTCGGCTCGAATGACACCCAATTATAAGATATATATTTTTTTATCTTGTTATCGTGTATGTATTTGCAGTAATATTGTATATACTATTCAAGTTTTTATACTTGAATTTTGTCTTAATAAGAGTAAATTGGGCACGGCAACCAATTTGTGTCTCCATAATGGATGTTGCTTCAAGTCATAAAGCCACAATAAAAAAGCCCAATAGGCCCACTGATATAACATGCATTGGGCAATCATAAACAGAAGTTTATGAGCAAATTTTATAATTTTGTTTGAGACTTCCATATGATAATATTAAAATTTATATTGAAAAAAATACGCATTTACCTACAAATCTCTATTTATTTACATAATGACGAAGATTTAATTTTTAATAGTCAATATATTAAATTCTAGTGTTTACGAATGACTGATTTGTGATTTGTTTTATTATCAGTTTAGAAAATGTATTACATATTATGTGGTTTATTACTAGTTTATGAGTGGTTCACATATAAATTTATTTTGAACTTATTATTTTTTTTTAAAAAAAAAAAAATATCACAAACATGTAAACGAGCCTATATTATTCCAATAAGAAAATATTGGCCCAGGCAAAGCCATAAATAAGCCCAATGCAACTCCACAGCCTGGCATGCAAGGCCCAACTAATAAATCACATATCCATAAAACATTAATTGTAGTCACCTACAGGCTACAAACCAACGGTTTTGCTGTGAAACCAACAACCAATTTTCTATATACAAAAAGTAGTCAAGTACCATATTTTCTGATTACGTAAATAACATTAATATAATTTTATTAATATAGTAGATTTATTTGTTGTATATAAAATATTGACTCCACTATAGAATCAACTGTTGACTTCATATCAGAACCGACAAACCAAACCATAAACAAAACAATACTTCAAAATCAAATTCCAATTTTTCAAATTTTATTTCAATTGTGTGGACTACAATCAAGCAATGGCAAGTTATAAGGACTAAACAGGTGTCAAGCTCATCTGCTGCCATGTCACTTTGTGGGATGATCAATAAATTTTATAGTTGAAAAAAAAAAAGAC